ACTGTTCCACAGGGTTCCATTTTTGGATATGTTTTGTCAAATTCAAGTAATCTTTGTTAATGATAAAAGTTAAAATTCATTGTTAATGTCTTCTTTTTTTTTTAATGCAGGTTCATGAGAGTTCCATGTTTGTTTTTGGAGGATATACTGGAGACATTCACTCTAATTCTAATCTTACAAATAAAAATGATCTTTTTGAGTATCGCTTTGGAAGTGGCCAGTGGATTGAATGGAAGTTTTTTGGCAGGTACATGTTGGCACATACTTTGTTTCACTGTATTTTTTATACTTCATATTTGGATTAGATCATAATAGAAAAATTACTGTTTTGGATGTTTCAAATTATTCTGCTGTTAATTTCTTTTATATATCAATAATTTCCAGGCTTATAAGTTATGGTCCAGTTAGTGTTGATTGAATCATGCCAAATGGACCGTGGCCTATCAGCCCAGAAATAATCATTGTTATTGACTTGGCCGTGAAAGCCAAATGTCAAGATATCCCTAGATGCAAATTGCAATGCAATATTTTTATAGGACACCAGTACCTCGATCTGCTCATGGTGCTGCAGTATATGATGGGAAACTGTGGATCTTTGCTGGTTATGATGGCAATGCTCGTCTTAATGATATGTGGACCATCTCTCTTACTGTAAGTTGATGAGAAACTTTATTCTTTTCTAGAAATTCTTACAATTTTTACATCTGACTATTATTCTTATGATTTTATATATTCTAAAGAACTCAAATTGTAATTTTTTACTTTTGTGGATAGTAAAGACAGTAGACTAGAGATTTTAAACAGTGAATTATTCTGAACTGTAAATGTAGCTTTTTTTCTCTCAACTGTCACACTCTCGGTGGGTTTTTGGTCATTGAACTAATAACATTTGTACAATTTCCTGTTTAGTCTGCTACTTTTGAGAATTGTGCTTTTTTACTCAGTGGTTTTGTAATTTGTTTGTTTGAATTTTCATGTTTTCTAATTTCATATATATTATTTTCATTATTATAATAAATATTTTGCTTTGAAAATTGAAAATAATTAATTTCTGTCTTTGGAGTAACAGAGTGTTGATATATGTTGTTATAATTTTAAAAAGTTAATATTAGTAATGTCAGTCCTAATCTTGTGTGTTTAAAGTAATATTTATATTTAGTAAGGTATTAACTTTTTCTCAAATATTGAAACTCTTAATAAAAGCATGTTTTGTGTTTTTCCCTTTCCTGATTTCATTTGCGTGAGCTTGACTTCAATGTTATTTTTAATATGTCCACCATGCATTGCAAGAGACCTTCCCATGTGCAGGGGGACAGCAAGGCATGGGAAGAGGTCCACCAGTTGGGCGACTGCCCTCCCACATGCTGCAATTTCCCTGTGGCTGTGGCTCGTGAATGCATGTTTGTCTTCAGTGGCCAGAGTGGTGCCAAAATAACCAACAACCTTTTCCAGTTTCACTTCAAAGATAGATGGTATGAGTTTTATGAGATAGTAAGTCAGTACTTTGAAGAGATAGGATATCATTTCCAATTTGTACCAATGGAGTTGAATGGGGAGCCACATTTTTTAATTGTAAAATGTTCTAAATAGAATTCTGTATTGCTATGACTGGATTTGCCCTGTTGTTTTCAGTATATTTAGGTAGAGACAATCTTAGCGATATTATAGTTTGTTTAATTTTTTTGTGTTCTAATAAATAATATTGTATTTAAAGCTTCTTTTTGGCAACAGTGTTCTTTAAGCAGTAATGATCACGATATCATTTTGGATTCATTCACATGATCATGCTTCTAAATTTTTTGAAACAATTTTATTACAATAGAATTGTAATATTTTCCCGAGTACTGTCATTACCAGGTCAACAACATAAAAGCATCTCTTGGTATCTTATGCAGAATCATGTGCACTAAAGATGATCATGCAAGCTGTTGGATATCCTAAGGCTCATTTCTAGTTTACAACTTTTGAAAATGGTATCCTATTTCTGCACACATACTTCAGAAATATTCTAAATCTTTGCTTCATGCAAATTTTCTCTGATTTTGTAGTTTGTATTTTGTCTTTGTTTCTTTCATTTTGTGCATGTTTGATGTGTAAATGAATGTGTGCTGCCAGTTAAACAAGGATTAGTTTTTGTGTACTTATGTTTGGTACTAGGTTTTAATGATTTAAATCACCATTAAAACAAAAGATATTTTTATTAAATTCACTGATTTAAATAAGATTTTACAAATTATTAAAATAAACATTTACTTTATGTTTATTTCAAAGAACTAATAAATATGAAACATATATAAAAATGTTGTTGTTAATAATATGGAAATGTAGCAAATTGTGTGATCTGATAATATTTCTAAAAAGAGGTTGTTGCCATGACTTCTGCCCCAACCCTTGGGTATTGGAGTAATAAAAAGAAATCACTTGCGTAGAATAATACACTAGAACAATAAAAACTAACAAATACTTAATACACATCATATCATAGGATTTAAATCCAATTTAAATTTTAAACTACTCAGATTTAAGTTTTAAAAAATACGATTAAAAAAATATTGATTTTGAGATATCCTAGTTTCTTCTTGAATTTAAAATTGGCTTTACTGTAGTATTTACAAGTTTTTTTTCTTTCATGTAATCACTGTTTGCTTACTCTACATTATGAGGTCATTCGTGAATTTAGATTTGGAAAATGACCTATTCACTTTGTTCTACTTCTGTAAACAAGATTCTTATAATATCTTTAATAGCATGTCTTATTAGTAGAAATAAACTTGAATATAATATGATGAGATACTTAAACAGGAATAGTAGATGTACCTAGCATGTGAACAACTATTATCTGGAATTTCTTCTCAAAGCAGTTTTTCTAATAATTTGTTTATCATTAGCACATTTTAACATTGTAAATTTTCTGTACTTTGCATATAGAGTTGACATTTTTCAGTTTCAATAGCCTTCATTTAATTTTTCCAATTACAGTGTTGAACATACAAGTACAAAAATGTATATTTAACTTGTTCAATATAATTCAGTTTTTGCAGTTTAATTTCCATTTGTCCTGAAATGCTTTTTATTTAATAATTCCATATTGTATGGTTTTCTTTTGTCCAGTATCCAGCCATTCCATGGAGGACATTCAGAGATCCTTTGTTTTTTGTCTAGGCTCGTCTTTCCCCTTTTGAAATATAATTTTCTGTTCTCTGTGTTTTTTCTTTTCTTCTTCTTTTTTTTTTTTTTTTTTGTGAAAATCAGTCAGTGTTTTTTCTCCAAATTGAATGATTGAATTTATTTTAAAAATAGTGTGTTTTAATTGATACATTTGCTGATTTTTAAAACCTTTTTCAGCTGTTCTTTACATGTTGAGGGGATAGCAGATTTCGTCTTTCATATGTCTCTATAGGCTTGCCAAAACAACAAATGTACATATTCTTAGTTTGTTGTGTCAACCTTTGAAACCTAAGTAGGTGTTTGTAATTTTCATTGTTGTTTCTCGTTCAAACATGAATTAGATGACTTTGTCAAATATTGTGGGAAATGAAGCAGTCAGTATACAGTGGTGTCCTGAACATTGTCTCATGCCCACTCAAGTGCCATGTGCGGATTGTGGAGCATTATTACCTGCAACTGGGAACAGAGCAAAGATGTTTGGAGACAGGGAACAGAGGAAAGACTATTGAAAGCCGACAGCATCCCGTACATCATTGTCTCTCACGTGATAGTTTATGTCAAAATGATTTGGACATCTATCTCATGGAATATTTGAGGCAAAAAGATTGCAGAAGAATGGGTAGAGATCTTTCCCTGTTTCTGGTTGCAGTTTGAGGCTTGTGATTTTTGTAACTAAAGTGTTCTTAAAATTTTTAACGGTTTTGTACACAGCCTGCAATATTTTCCTTCATTGCTTTAGGTTAGAGAAGATTACATTATATTACAAGGTCATATTCAGGGGCGTATCCTGACAGGAATTTTGGAGAGATAGTTTCATATTTGAGATTTTGTAAACTTTCATAGCCTGTACTAGCTCATGCTGTGATACAATTTTGTTTTAATGATTATCTGACTATTTTTGCTTGAATGCTTAGTGATAAGTTAAAATTAATAGTTACTGAAAAATGGTAGTGGGGGGAATTTCTCTCCCTGTGGATTCACCCCTACTATATTCATCCGTGGTTAGGTTATTTTCCCATGAATACAAATCTTCTGTAAGTTTCCATAAGTTGGTAGTTGCATGGTGCAGAACGGCATGATTTGTTCGCCAGTTGGTATCAAGACAAAAGGCAGATGCAATGCGCTGCATCATGTAAAGGATATCCCATTTTTCTACCAAGTTGTTTACATTCATTCATAATAAATGAGAGAAAATAATGTATCAAGTGTAAAGTGCATTTTTTTGAAGTATTAATTTTTTAAAGTATTACTATGTGCTGATGATGTAATGGAAATGTTCAACATATATGAAGACTCAAAATGTAGCATTACATTAAGTTTATTTGAATAAAATATCGTTTAAAGTGAGTGTTTCTTGATTTGAATTTTGCAGTTGGACACGCATCTCAACAGAACACATTCTGCGTGGTGCCCCACCTCCACCTGCCCGCCGCTACGGTCACACAATGGTGGCATTTGACCGACATCTGTATGTATTTGGCGGCGTGGCGGACTCAACTCTTCCAAACGATCTGCACTGTTTCGACCTTGATCAACAGACGTGGAGTGTCATTCCCCCTGCTGCTGACTCAAATGTTCCATCGGGTCGACTTTTCCACGCGGCAGCTGTTGTCGGTGATGCAATGTTCGTCTTTGGTGGAACTGTTGACAATAATTTGCGGTCTGGAGAGATGTATCGCTTTCAGGTGAGTTGAGTTAAATTTACTTGACATTGTTCTTTAAAAGCTTAAATTCCTTTTGCATTTTTAACTACTAAATCTTCTTGTAGATGTAGGAACCCATTGGATAAAAATTAAATGAATAAAAGTTTGTAGCATATGTTGCGTACAAGGCATGTTTATGTAGCGTACAAGATAATTGTTTGAAAATTGTTTCAAGTATAATGTATTATAGTTATTGTGGGAATGGAGTTGGAATTCTATGCTTAGGATTTTCCTAATTGCTTTTTGAACTTTTGTTTCAGTTTTCGTGTTACCCAAAATGCACTCTTCATGAAGACTTGGGACGTATCTTAGATAGAAGGCTCTTCTGTGATGTACAGTTTGTTGTAGGCCTGGAAGAGGCTAGAATATCAGCTCATGTTGCCATAGTTGCTGCAAGGTCTCAATGGCTCAGAACACGTATTAAACAAGCTTTGGATGCTAGAGATAGACATCTTGAAAAGGTATTTTGATTCAAAGTAAAACAGTGGAAAAATTTGGTGTAAATATACAACAAAAAAAAGTTTTTAAATGATGACGTTAGCAGTGTCATTATTAGGGTTTTCAAACTTCGAGAACAGTGTTTCTAAAAGTTTTAAGAGATAATAAATAGAAAATTCAGTGTTTGCAATTGGAATGTTGCTTGGTAAATTTTTTAACATTATATTTGGCTCCAGTTTGTGAACATTCTTTATTAATTGTATTGTACATGATGTCTAATGTTCCAAAATCAGTTATATTCTTTTGTATTAAAAATATTTTTGAACTAAGCATTATAAATGAATTTCATATATATTTAATAATAATAACACAGTAACATCTTCATAACAATATAATGCACATTCTGATTAGACTGGGCATACATAGTATTAAGGGCCAATTGTGTGATGCACAATTACTTTTAAAATTGTTTTTTTCATAAAATTGCTTATTTTGAGGGTAAAAAATTCATTCAGTTGTATGCCATGTGTATTTCAGGTTTAACGATTCATTGTGAAATAGTCATTTCTGTTTTGGTTAGCATTTTGTTAAAAAAAAAAAAATAAAAAAAAAAAATAAAATAAAATAAAATAAAATAAAATAAAATAAAAAAAATATTTTCTTTTCTCTTCAAAGATATTTTCAGTACATTTGAAATTGCTGTGCATATTTGTGAACACAAATGTTTGCAACCTCAAAAAATGGGCTTAGAAACCATGATAGTTTTTAGGGTATATGGAATGTGAAATAAATGTTTTTGTTATTGTTGTTTTTAAGTTTTGTACTGATTCACTTATGAAAATCAAATTGGATGGGATACCATCATCCCAAAAAAATATCATTTGGCAGCAATCTAGTTATGTATTTCACACAGTTGGTTATTCCTTGATATATGAAACGTATTTGTGCAAAAATTATGGATTGTGTTTCTTGGAACTTATGTCATGATATGGCATAGAAACCAAGCCTTTCTACAACTGTTTTGTCTATCCATTATGTAAAAGATATCAAGACTTTGTCATGTTCGTCCAACTGGCTTTAAAAGTATTCTTTGTGGAAATATTCATCACATGTATGATGAACATTTCCCAAACCTTTGAGATTCCTAATGTTTTAAGTATTTAAAGGATTAAAGTCATAATGGTAAAAGGATTATCACAAAGAAATATATTCAGTAAAAACCCTGATAATTATTTTCTGTGAGATAATATCTTTGCATTAAAGAAGCCTCATTATAAAGATTGTCCTTTTTGTAATGCGGAAAAGAAATTAAAACGAACCCTATTCAAGATGTCACTTTCTCTCTAAGGGATAAAAACATAAACACAAAAACAAGAAATACCTTTCTCAGTATCTTACTCCATAGTTATTAAGTGCTTTTTTTTGTGTCTAATTCTCTGTGTCAGTAACAAAGACAACAAGAATGATTTAATATTAGGACCATTATGTTGAAAATATCATTTTTCATTATGTCATTGTACAGTAATTATTAGAGTTGTTTTGAAAATATTGAATGATGTCTTTTCTAGGTTTTTGGAACAACAAAAGTGGCATTTAAAGAGGTGCCTCTTCCAGAAGTACGTTTAGGTGATGCTGTGCCTGAAGCATTTGAGATGGTTCTCAATTACATTTACACAGATCGAATAGATCCTACCAAAAGAAGTAAGTGCTCTCACAAAGTTCTACAGTAATGTACATCAAAACACATACAGTAAAACCTGTCTAAGGCAAAAACTGATTTCGGAAAAATCTGTGAATGGACTATTTTCCAATGCAAAGTACTCTGGATAAACTGGAAACTTGCCTTACGCGGAAACAGAAAGGAATTTTTAGTATGACAGTATTAAAAATTCTAGGTACGACAGAAAACAAATATTGTTTTCAAATTAAACATTGATTTGTAAGTGTGTTGACATTGTACCAAAAGACATTCAGAGCTGTGCTCATCCATTTCTCAGCTACCCTTGACCAAACATCATATTTCCCATGCTACTCATGCAAAAGCCACTGTTATTTTTAATAGCACTTACCAGCCAATTTAATAGCCTTAATAGCCAATTTTATTTGTAATAGCACTTACCTTTACAAACCCCTATGAAGGAAGGGAAGACATGAAGAGTGATCTTTCCACAGTTCTTGTAACATTTTCTTTGCATTCAGTGGTTCTTAACTTTTACTGTTGTTCAGTTGGTACAGAACAGTAGTGTGCTATGGACATTGAAGTAATAAAACCTAAGGCAGAAACCTGCACCTGAAAAAAGTTTCAGAATGGGCTATTTTTAAATGCAAAGTACACTGGATAAGCCAGAAACCTGCCTAACACAGAAACGGAAAGGAATTTTTAGAACAATTGTATTAAAAATTCTGGATAAGAAGGAAAACAAATATTGTTTTAAAATTAAACATTGACTTGTAAGTGTGATGACATCAAATCACAAGGCAATCAGAACTGTTGTCGTACATTTGTTTTCTCGGATATCCTGGTTGTAACATCATTTTTCCCATGCTACTCGTGCAAAAGCCACTATATTTATAATGGGTCTTACCTTCACAATCCTGTGTGACAGGAAACTCAAAGAGTGATCCTTCCATGGTTACCATAATGCATGCTTTGGGTTCAGTGTTTACTGTTGCACACTTTAAACTGTTAAACATTTTTTTAATTTCCAGCACATAACACAGACAAGCAAGTATAATATCACAAATAAATAGAACATCCAGAAATAAGTGCCAGTCTATATATCCCATTATGAATGTATTTGAAACAAATGTTTTATTTTCTCATCATTTCAAACAATTAATTTTAAAATATAATGTTCATGTTAGTCTCGTTACTATTCATAAAAACGTAGTATCTGACAATTTCTTGGTCCTGCAGCATTACATTCTTGAAATACTAAACTAATTAAATACTCGAAAAAAAATTCAGATGTTAACTACATAACGAATGTCACTGACTTCAATTCTTTTATAATTTCTAATTTAATCATAAACTTGAAATATTTTGTTCTGTCGTATTCGAAAAACTGGAGCTTTTAAGTGCCATGCAGAGATGTCATATTAGGTGAAATTACTACAAGCGGGTTGAAGTGTGGTGACCACGGAATACAAATACTTTTTTTTTTTCAAGTGCCATGTTTCTAATTTAATCTCTCAAATGCTTGTCTCTTATTAAAATATACAAAAAAGAAATTGCAACTAAGTAGACAATAGATAGACAAGTGGTATAAGTGGTATAATTGCCCATTTTTATTTTGCATATTATAATTTTAAAGAAAGAAAAGTCCGCAACACTGTGCATGTATCCATCAAGATAAATCTTAGAAATTAGAATGATCTCTAGCCCTGAAAGAAATGCTCAAATTAATAAATGTTCCAAATTATTCACTTGGATGTTACTTCTGGAGTTAATCGATTACCTTCCAAAAATAAATTGTGTACGATAAATTACACTGGCCTGCATTTTTTAAAAACAATTTTGGTGTCTAAATTTTTTCAACGGTAATAATTGACCACGCTGAACTCGAAAATAATATTAGTTTTCCTCAATTGTGTCAAGTTTTTGCCCTGTGGATCCTATGGCTATTCAGCATACTATTTTGACCATTAGGACCCATTTACCATTTATTGTTTATAGAGGGTCAATAACTAGATAACAGACATAACAACAGTATATTACATTAAGGGAAGTATTAAGTGAATAAATCACAAGATAGTTTCAGCGCAATGTTTGTTAATAGAAAATTATATTTAAAAACACAAATATTGTGGGAAAAATAAATACTTTTGTACTTCCTTTCAGTATACATCCCTCATGAGAAATAGATGTGTATGATTGAAATAAATGTAGCTATTTCGCTTTTCCTTTATCATATGTTAAAGTTTTCTTGTATAAGACAATTCATTTTATAAAAATGATGACTTAAGCGCCTTTCGTTTATATGTGGCTTCTGGTTCATCTCTTTTCGGCCACCAAAAAAAGAACCATTGTATCCCAGTGACCTTGATACATCTCTTACATTGTCCTGATATCATAGTGGAACTTTTCTCCTTGTTCCTCACTAGAATCCCCAGAATTATCTGGAAAATAATTCTCAGAAACTAAACCCAGAAAATGTGAGCTCCCATATTCTTGAAGCTGTTCAGGAGACTTCGAATGATATCTTCATATTCATGACTTCTTTCCTTTCCAAGAAATTGTTTTCCAGTGACTGTGAAATCAAGCCAAGCTTTCCTTTCCATTCATAGTCTTTCCAAACTTTGGACGATTCATTAATCTTCTAATTTGGGGGCTATCAAAAATACCTGCATTGAATTTTGTGTGGAAATGTCTTCATTATATAAAGAAAGCTGGGTTGTGTTTATTCATTGTTTTAACAAGATATTTCATTACCCAAGTTTTATGTGGTGGGAGCAAAATTTTTTGTGGGTCAATCAATAGGTTGGCAATAATATTGTTTCTATTGGGTGTAAAACTTTTTTGAGATGGCCACTCCTGTTGTATAAATTTTTGGAGTCTGCCTGACTAACAAAGAAAGCAGGGATGTTTAGTGTAACCTCCTTGCATTCCCAATTATAGTGAGATAAACTCTTAAAATAAAAATGTCAAGCACATTACTGTTTCAGGAATTTTTTTCACCCTCGTCAGTAATTTGTACTATAACATTTTTGCATTTTATATTAATGTTAATTGATTAAGTTTATATTTCTTTAACATGTATTATACAACTCTAGTAATTAAAACAATGTCTGAAAAAAAAATCGTATTAGCATTAAAATTTAATAAAGACTACAAATGTCAAAAACACATATATCTACTTTTAGAGAAAAAACTGACCTTAAATGATGATTGACGTGACAGAACGTGATAGAAATAACGATTGCAGATTTTGCGAATCAGCACCAAAAACAGATTCAAAACTAAATAAAACATTACAGATATCAGAAATGATGCAGACCAATGTTATTATACCATATTCTATCACCTACATATACAGTTTCTTGGTGGTGTTGCATGCACTCCACAGTTGTATGATATCTTAAACTGGACAATATTATAATTTTATGAATGATAACTTAAATAATGCTGCTCTTTAGAATTATTTGCCTCCGGTATGAAGGAATGATGAAAACCATTATACCCTCGGCAGACCATCAACTTTATGTACTCATACATCAACACATTGAGAAGACAAATTGTAGAATGAAGTAAAGTATAAGTGCAAGAAAGCAAAAATAGAATTAATATGAGCATTTTCAGTAGTAGTTGGTGTGAAACCTGTATATTTCATTAATTTCAACCAGAAATAACACAAAAACTACTGTTTCTTTTTGTTGTTTTTCAATTGTACATGTCCTTTATTTAAATAACTAATTTTATACATCACACTTTGTCTGAAGCAAAAATCTCCATCTTCAGTTTTGTATTTTTGAAAAGCTTTTTGCAATTTTTGAAAGAACAAGCAATACCCAAAAATGAGACCAGCGCCATACGTCTTACCGTTCCTTATTACATACGTGGAGGAAATTTGAAGAAAAAATTTGGAGGGGATTTTTAGTAATTTTTTGTTAATTTCAATCTTAAAAATACATAATAAAATGTGTTGTTGTTTTTTTTCAAAAAAAAAATCCGGGATGCCAACAAAAATGAGACCTGCACCATTCTCTTAAATGTCCTTTGCACTATTTAAAACACTTTTTTTTGGAAAATTTTGAATATGTCCCGTGTAAAGTACCTCCCAAAATTAAAATAATGGCTTCAAATTCCAGGGTCCGCAACATCAGCAAAGCGAATGGGGAATGTTAGTTTTGGAGAAAATTGACTGAGCGGTTTATGCGCTAGCGTAAACCCGCAATAAGTTTTTACCCTTTCCATACCTGCTATAAGAGTTTTTGTGTTGAAAATTTCGCCGTTTTGCGGCGCACAATTACATTACATGATTACAATACTTTCTCTTCTTGTGTTAGTAAGTGCGAGAAAGTTAAAATAAAGAATGAGTGGTTAAAGTATTTTTTGGTATAAATTATATGGTTGTTGTAATATTTGGAAGGCAAATAGCTGAAGCCTAAATCATCAGGTAAATTCATCTGTTCCTACAAATATTGAAAAAAATAAAATTTTTTTACATTTTATGAAGTTTTTTGTTTTCTGAATTTTCAGTTTTTATCGCAAACCTTAATAAATGGGAAACCAGTTCTAGACGGGAGAACATGTTGGACACAAACATTGCCAGTATAGACAGGTTTTACTGTATTCATATTTTGTCACAGACTCTCATTCATTGTATTTATTCTGCTTCTTTGTTTGTAGTTGAAGACCCAACTAGCAATCGTATCGTCCTTCTTATGATGGATGTTTATAGACTTGCAGTTCAGGTTGGTTAAATCAGTACATTTAAGCTGTTGCATTTTTGAGATCTCTTAATTTTAAGACCTTGTTGCTTTTTTGTTTGTTTTTTTTATATTCAGAATAAAATGTGTTTGCTTTTCCCCCTCTCTTTCCCTCTTAATAAAATAGTGTTTGAATATGTGATGTTCTTAAATACCAAAATATTACATATATTCTTGATAAATAGTGTTTTTAAAATAAATATTGAAACTGCTAACCTGGCAAATACGCTACTTTAAGATTGAAGTAGCAAAGAATAGTGATGTAAGTTGCTAATTTTTTTTTTTCTTACAATTTATCCACAGTTTGATATGCGTAGATTAGAACTTCTGTGTGTTCAGTACTTAGAAGCAACAATATGTTGCCGCAATGTCTTAGAAGCTCTTACAAATGCTGCACGACTCAAATTATATTTTATCAAGGAGTTATGTCTTAAATTTGTTGTGAAAGATACTAATTACACGACAATTGTAATGAGCCGTGAGTTTGAAACCTTAGCCCAGCCACTGATGGTGGAAATCATTCGCCTAAGACAAGTTCCAAGGGCTCGTCCTTTACCTGAGCCTCATTTTGATGGAAACGGTAAGTTTGAAAATTTGAAATAGTGTATGATTAAAATGTTATGACACCCATGTTTTAATATTTGTATACAAACTGCTACTTGTTGAAAACAATTCTTTATTATCAGTCTGCCATATTCTTTGTGATTTGTTCTTTCTTATTAATTAGCATTTAGAATTAGCTTAATTTAAAAACATTTTTTCCATATTTGCATATGTAGTTGAATATTACATTAAAAGGCTTTGTTAAACCCTTTTGTATTTATACTTGATCTTTAACAAATTAAACTTTAAATATAGTAATAACTCTCTAAAATATGTTTCAGTTGGTACGACATTGGAGCAAGACATGGAGTCATTTCTGAAAGCATCTGAGTTATGTGATCTCACATTAATGTTAGATGGACAGTCAATTCCAGCTCATAAAGCCATTTTAGCTGCTCGTTGTTCTTATTTTGAAGCTTTATTCCGTTCTTTCATGCCCGAAGATAAAGTTGTTCAGGTGAGTGAGAAGTACTGCTGAATTTATTTATTATGCCTTTGAAATTCAAGAATTATTAGGAGCTGATCCAATATACCATAATTACCCAAATATTAAGTCGTCTCTGAATATAAGATGACCACCAATTTTAAAGACATTTTTATATTTGTTTTTAACTAATTCTATCTATATTGTTAGAATAAATTTCCAAATTATTTAATTGTGTGACAATGTTTTATCTTAGTATTACCTGAACAATCACTAATTTCTTGCTTCGTAAAATAATCATGGTTTTTAATTATTAGCACAATATAATCATCTTCACATATATTATTGTTTCTTTCATTTTAATCCTTCTCCCAGTTTGTGTTGTCCTCCAACTTTTTAGGTATCCCTTAAAATTTTGAGCATTGAATTTGCATTTGTGTTTCACCTGATGCCACCTAAAATGTATTCCCTTCAGTGTTACTAATTTTCTTCCTTTTGTGCTCTTATTTGTGATCTCTGATTCTTTAACAGTTCATAAACATTCTTTAATAGCATTCAACAGTGCAAAGTTTTTACTAAGAAAATATTTCATTAATCTTTCTCTGTGGTTCTTACTTCTATCAATGACTTTTTTTCCATCTCTTGCAAAATGCAAATTTGTGAATGATTTTTATCAATATTTTGACATGGCAATTCAGTGGCAATGGCATGGAAAGGCAGTGTAAAATTATAAATCGTTACTGCTTATTCTTAATCTCCAAATATGAGACGAACCTGTAATTTTCAAATGGTATATTTAGAAAGAAACCTCGTCTTAAATTTGGGTAAACACGGTATATAATATTGCTATTAATTCTGATTAGACTCTCAAAATGACCACTGACATCAAAATTATCTTCACCATTTTGAAGTATCACTGTACTTGTCAAAGATTGTTTGTGAAGGTTTATTTAATTCATTTTTCAGATTCAGATAGGAGATGTTGTTCCTTCTCGACAAAGTTTTGATTCTTTATTACGGTACATATACCATGCTGATGTGGCTATGCCTCCTGAAGATTCTTTGTACTTGTTTTCTGCCCCATATTTCTATGGATTTACAAACAATCGCTTGCAAGCTTTCTGCAAACAGAATTTGGAGATGAATATCACTTTTGAAAATGTGATTCAGATTTTAGAAGCTGCTGATCGCATGCAAGCCCAAGATATGAAAAAATATGCACTTTCCCTCATTGTGCATCATTTCTCAAAGGTATGACAAACATTGTGGAAATAATATTATTTACATTTGTAAATTCTATAAATGTTGTGTTTTTCATTTGATGCATTGTTTTTAAAAACCTATTTTGCATTTCCAATGGTAAGTAATAATGTGAAACATGTTGAAGAATAAGTCATCCTATATCATACATCATTGCACAGTTTTTGAGTTTGTAAATCAAGGAATGTTTTCCTTTGGTTTTTGCATTTTACTGAAAGACTGGAGTTAAAACAGGAATAAATCAGGAAAAAATAAATTTGTAATATTTGCTGGACTTACAATTACAAAATAAATGTATTACTGTTACATTTGTTTTTAAGCAAAATGAACATTACTATTTGGAGAAATAAAGCTTTTTTTTCTCCCAATGGTGTGTTAATAGCATCATTACTGAAAGTCTTTTAGATTTTCAAAATTTTCACGTGAAATGTACAATTAATTTCTTTAATATTCAGGAATTTCTTTTCCATGTATATTTGTGTTCCAACAGGTAGCGAGGCTTCCCCGAACCCGAGCTCTATCTCGAGAGTTGTTGCTCGATATTATTGATGCCCTTGCTGATGACCTTAGTGAACAAAGGCTTACTCAGGATATGACTTGTGTCTCATTGAGTTCTGACTGTTGATAATTTCTCAGTATTCTCTTAGACTTGCACATGAAGAAAAAAAGTTGATTATAATGTAATTATATTGTATGTTTTGATGTTTAATACTTATTTGTTGGCTTATTGCACATATGATGTAAAAATTGATTTTGTAAATATATAATTTTTTATGTGACGTTGGCTTGTGATTTTAATTTTTTCTTTTCTGAGGTGCTACAGTCCATTTAGGTGTGTTATGTGCAGATTTGCAATACTGGTAGTGCCTTTCAAGATTGTAAGGATGAAATAAAGCAATCCATTGCCCTGCCCTGTAGAGGATGGAGAAGGAAGAATTATTTGTGACCTACTCTCTGTTATTGGACTCCAGTGTCAATTAATTAGCTGAAGCGACTAGTCAGTAATTCTTATCCAGGCAGAAGCATTACCTAACCTAGTTTCTTAGCTGATGTCGAAACTCACTCACTGTTGATTTTTAATATAAAATGGTCTCCTCCTGGTCTTATGAAACTCTGTTTGCAGATGCGCATTTATAAATGCTAATATACCCAGTATTTAAAATTATACATAAGATTGTGAGTTGGGTCAACACAACCTAGATATAGGTGGTGTTGTTTGCGTAGAGAAATATTTTGTAGTTAGTGCTCATAAATATATATGGATTGCACAATGCAAATCGAGGCAAACTAATTAAATTTTAAATTTTTATTTATTACATTTTTTTTTCTAGAAACAATATAAAGGCAGATTTTCTTCCAAGATGAAGATAATGACAAAAAACACAATTGAAACTTAAGACACATCAATGCATTTCACTGTAAAAAACAAAAATAATTCTTTTTGAATTGAGGGATGGCTTCAATAGAACAAAACTCTTTGGAAACTAAGAATCATAATCAATTGAACGTTCATGGGAATGTCAGTGAATTTTATATGTCATTACTTTGTAAATATGAAAGTTTTGAAGGCAAATCCACAATTTCTTATACAATATTCTGTAATAAACAATTTGATAATGAAAATCAAATGTATTGAAGAAGGTTGAGAGATGATTAAACCATTATCCGGTGTGAAAAATAGCAACTCTTCTAGAAAACATGTTTCCATTTCCTAATTGCTTAAAGCTTTCCAAAGTTTCGACACCTTCAGTAGGAGGTCTATCAAATGGAAATCCCATAGCTCGTCGATCAGGATACTTTTCTCCCCTTACACCACAGTAACTTGATGCATCTCGGCACATATTAGTACTTCGTTGATTTACCTGGAAATATTTTTTATTTAGATCAGTGAAACCATATGTTTTAATGAAAAATAGCATGATTTTAATAAATTATTTTGACTGATTTAAGAATAACCTTGTACTATTATAACTATACACTCCTTCTGTAGTCATGAGACATTGAATGTTCTTTTAATAAAATGGATAAGTAAATAGATTAGCCTTCTGCATTTTTGAATAAATTTTATAACTTACTTGATCATCAGCATAATTTGACACCATCACAAAGAGATCTGCTTGCAGACCATCAGGAGTGCCTTTAGGTAAAAGCATATGCTGAGGCCAACCACACCCACAATAATTTGTGTCTTCTGATGTAGCTTGATTTCTGTCTTGATTACGAAATGTCCTTTCATAAGGAATGGTGACACTAGATTGAGTAGAATTCCGAATAAAAGTGTGATCTCCACTTTTTACTGCAACAATAATTGTAAATGTTGAAATCATAGTCATAGCATTACATTATTTTCATTGATATAATAATATAAGTAAAGCCAATTAATATAACCCACGGAGTACAACTGTCAATCAAGAGATAGCGTGGTCAACGCTATAGTAAGTGTGTACACAATGACCACCATAAGATTGCAAGTTCTTGACTGATAGTAATTTATGTTAAGTTGTTACGAGTAGTAAGTTAGTATCTTTGTAAATGTATATGCTTAGTTAATATTCAGTATTGAATCAGTACAATTAATATTGATGATCTACCAATAACTCATATAATACAGTATGTATCAGTTATTAAAATATTTGTTACTTCAATTAATTTGTTTAAGTTATCTATAATTGGAAAATTTGAAGAGATGAACATTTAAATAAATATTTGTGTCATACAAATTTTAAATGTAAATTACAGAAAAAGGATCATGTGTAGAAAAGAGATACAATTGGGGTTTTCTCTCCTCTTGACCGAATATTTCTTAAGTAGTTGACAATTTTCATTGACAGACTACATTCCGTTTGCGATCCATTGACACTGGCAACTAGTGCATGTTGTTGCTACCTAGGGCAAACCAAAGTGTCTCAGTGAAATGTATAAACCTCTTCACCTGTTAACATTCGGTTCCCATACCGAAACAACAAGAAAGTTGTTTATTCATAAACATTTAGTCAGCTACTGACTACAATAAATACTTGTATTTTACACATAATTCTTGTAACATTAAACATCAGAATACTATATTTTCTTTTATTATACAAATGGCTTGCCTCATAATATACTGTACAAAGATCTCAGGCATAATATTAATATTTTGGCCTTACAAGAGCAAGTGGCAGTCCCAAAAGGCAATCTTTGTATTGCATACCTTTTTTCTGTAAACTTCATATAAATTAGGAACTATGGAAAAATTTTTAGTGAATCATTGTCATTGCTCATCATGTTTGAAAATTAAAATTACTTCTAATTAGATCATCCTCTGTTAATGATACCTTATTCCTCAAAAAATCAATGTTGATACTTGTTTTATTATCTTATTTTCTAAGGCTATATTTGTTCTGCTGTATTCTTTACTTATTATCCCATGGACTTTGTCTTTGAGAGTGATATTTTCATTTTTAATTCTTTGTGTGTTTATTTAATTCATGAGCTGCTCTTTGTATTTCATCTTCAGTTTTTGCTAGTATTGCTTGGTCATGTGCATGTTTTTATTTTCTTGTCCTGCCTCATAGTGATATATTTCATTATTTATGGAATTACTTAACATGGTGGTCGACAATGTTTATTTTGTATAAAAAAAATTCTGACTAAAACCTGTACTAATTTTTACAAAAGATCTATAATGTGTCTTTATAATCTAATAAAATGTGTGAAAAAATATTCAGTATGTACTATAAAATATGATTATTGAAATGGCTTTTGAAGTACCACAAATTTCTAAATTCAAAGGAAATAAAAATTCAATATCTTTGCTACATTATTTGTTACAAACAATGTGATCAGATCCCAGGTATTGTGTACAGGAAACAAATTATTATGCTGTAAGCACTGTTACAAATAAATAAGAATCTTTCTTCCAAGCGTTAAAATGTGAAAGAGATCTGTCAAATGAATTGGGTTTAAAATCAAAGTTGGTAACACAGAAGCCATCTAAATTTTAATATTTTGGTTTTATAGGTCAACATAGTCTGGAATGCTAATGAACCTTTAAGTTGATGCAACTCTAAATAAAATAATTAAGAAAAGGAGTGGACAAGCAGGTCAAATGCTTCATAACCCAGGGTACACAATAGCGCGCTCTGGGAGAATGAATGATCATAGTGAACTTAAAATCAATAAAAACAAACCAAAAAACTATCACACAACAAAAATGGAGCAATGTAGTAAATTGAATTTTATCTTTTTTAAAGTTTGCACACAAGTATAACATCTTTTCTAAGGTGCCCCATACTCCTTGCTCAAAAACCTATAAATATATTATCAGAATTACACACTTTCGTATGATGAACACCATACTTACAGAGAACAAGGAATCTATCCAATTCTATGAAGAGACCTCTCTGTTGACGAAGCCTCATTGGAAGACCACGATCATCAAAATGTGGTGCCATAAAAATTCTTACAGTTCCCATCCGCTCTTTTCCTGAGTTCTGAACCTATTAAAAAATGTATTAATTAGGAGATGCAAGGATATGTTTTAAACTGATAATATAGTTAATTACATCTCTGATAATTATGTCTCGAGGAAAGTAATAGTTGTATACAAAATAAAAATTATAGATCATCTTAGGACAATACAAGACTGAAGAGTAGAAGAATGTAACCAATTGAGTATTGTAATAAGATGTTTCAATATGAATGACATACAACATTTTAATTTATATAGTATAACTAGTATAATTATATAGTATTAATAGTAGTATAATTATATATTAGTAATTATGTATAAATTGTATAATTATATAGTATATAGTATAGTAATTTATACATAGTTAATTACATTTCGGATAATGATGTCTCAAGGAAAGTAATAGTTATAAACAAAATAAAAATTATAGGCCATCTTCTGACAATACAAGACTGAAGAATAGAAGATTGTAACCAATTGAGTATTGTAATAAGATGTTTCAATATGAATAACATACAACATTTTATCCACATGGTTCTAAATTCTAATTAAATATAATTTTCATCTAAATATGTCTATTCATCTGGTGAAAGGTGACACACTGATATTGATAGTTTTCAAAAAAAAAACATATACTACATAACATATTTTACTTTGAATAACACCAACTGAAGGACCGCCAAAGAGGATAAATATTTTTTTAATTATTCAACTCACTGGTCTTTTCACTAAAGAGGAATTTAAATGAAAGTTACACACACTTGTGCATGCATGCATGCCCGCGCATGCACACACACACACACACACACACACAAAACAATTGAAGAATTAAGATATGAGAGTGGAAAAAAGTTTTATTTCCATTAATGTAAATAACTGAGACCATGAAATTGCTGGTAAAATTCAGTTCATCAATACATCATTGTATTTTACCCATTTATATTTTTATAAAAATGTTACTTACTCTAATTCTGTAAACAAAAGGAGTATATTGTAAATGTGTGATTCGTACAAATATCTGAGCCTGTGGTAGGAAGTCTAATCCTCGAGAAAGTTCCAAATCACTTTTTTGCCAGAATGTGTTCAAAATATTGGGTTGTTTTCCATTTGTGAGCAATTCAGCTGATTTTATTGTAATTCCAGGATATCCAAGCTATTAGACATGTAAATCATTTTCAAATTATTTAAGTAAACAGAAAATGTATGTTTTCATTATGCAAAAGCAATCCAACTTACATGTCGATCTGTATAGCGAGGAAGAGTGTTCTTGTGTTCTTGAAATAGATCATCAATAAATGCATGCCATCGATAGAATATTGGATCTCTCATTGCTGTTGCAGAATCACCAATGACTCCAAAAGATTCCTTGTACAGGATTAAAACTCATCAGAATTATGATTGTGATTGAATCTCCAGATAAGAAAAAATTCTTGAGTCATTGTTGACTTTTTATAATAGATTTTTTGCCTTTTTTTTCATTTTCTTTTGTTTAAGATCAATTTATATATATATATATATATATATA